GGAATTGATGTAGCAACAGTAAAGCTGCTGTTTTTTCCAAACTCAGAAGCTGCTGTTGAGTTAAATGTATGTGAAGGATTGCTGTTGAGGCTGATAATTTTAAGATTGTACCTTTTAACTGGATGTTAGATTTGAGAGTGTGCACATTCCCTAATGTGTGTGTATGTGCCAACACAATTTAGAGCTCTGTAATCTAATCCTGGTGGCACCGAGTGCAGAATCTTGTTCTTTAAATCAGAGAGGGGGGGATCCTCCACAGAATAGTTCCTTGGATTGCATGCATTCTATGATAACTTACCACATCAAGCCTAAGAATGTTTCTTATCCATCATTGTCATTAAAGTCTTAATGTACAGAGTTTGTTTAACGTACTTAATAATTCTAGGGTAGTCAAACCTTAAACAAAAACCTAAAAAAGTTTATGAGGTCTCATTTCTGCAAGAGAAGCTTAAATGAACTTTTCTGCCCATTAATATATTTTGTTAAATTATTTCTGTTTGTAGGCTAACTGTTGGGAGGTTTGTGTAACAGCATTATTAGGCACTACCACTTTAATTACTGTGGGGCACCTGTGCAATGGGCCTTCTGCTAGGCAAGAGAGGTGGTTGCTCTTGCTTTCTTCCCTGCAGCAGCACTTACCCACACTTACTTTTGAGAGAAGGTGTGTGTTTGTTACTCTCCTTGCGGGCAGCCTGGGTGGGTACACCTTGGATAATAGAGGCATAGAGACCAAGGTAATCGCTTGCTAAGGAGTGACAGCACATGCTCCGCATTGTGATTAATTACCTCTGTATCATTTACAGAGCTGACAGTGCCAGAGATGGTGAAGATCTCTGTTCAAGAGGCTGGAAGGCTGCCTTCTTCTTGTATTTTAAATCATTGTCCTTGATAAAATGATTGAATAGAAAGCATGATGATGGGGCAGCAATGAGGCTGAACCACAGACTGGCCTTTGAATTGTTATCTCTGTGTTCTTTTTGACAGTCTGATTGACTTTCTTATAATAAACCTAACTTCAGCAGGCCTGCCTCTCTGTGCCATCCTGTGAGGATTCTTGAGTGAGCTCTGAAAGGCGGAAGTTCATGTGCATATATCTGAATAACTTAGAAGCTGAGAGCAAGCCAAGTCCAGAAGATACTTGTATGGTAAAAGGTGAAGAGAGGAATGGCACATGACTGTCACTGAGGAACTCTGAAGATGAAAATTAGCATTTCAGCTGAGATGAATGCAATTTACTTAAACAGTGCCCCAAATTTTGGGAAGCTCTTTGGGGAAAAATATAATGGGCTACAGTTTTTAAAGAATCTTGTTTAGCTTAGTTCATTAAGAAAGTGACTTTTGCTAGCAGTTGTGTACATTCATATTTGTGGTTTCCTCCCATACAGCTTGAGTCCAGTAAACCTTTTTTCCTAAATGTAACTTGGTGGTAAAGGCTTACAGGTCCTAGGTTAAGGAAGATACTTCCCTAAGAGAAAGGTGCTGATGCATGACCTGAATTGTATTATTATTAGGTATCAGAAAACCTATATTAGATAAATTGTTAGTTCCTCAATCTCTGTTACAATTCTCGTCTTCTTCTGTGCCAAATTATCTTTGCTATAACATGCAAAGTTACAAGAAGCGAAGATTCATTACCCCCAGTGCTTAAGGACCTACTTTTGTTTTAAAGTAAAAAGTTATGGGTTGGATGGTGTCTGTGAGGTACAAAGAAGGAGACCAAGACCACTCTGGTGTATTTGGATTCCAGGTGATAGAAGGAATGGCATTAAATGAACTACATGAAAACTGGTTCAGTTGCTAAACTGAAAACTTGGAGAGGAAGATGCGTTTGGTTTTGTTTGGTTTGGTTTTCATGTTTTGAAAATAAGTTCTGTTTTTCAAAGAAAGCTATTATTTTCCTTTTTGTTCAACATGGGAAGATCTGTTAATTTTGTCAGGGATTGTTTTGCTTTCAGGTGTTTGTTTTGGAAAAAAGGTCTGGATTCACATAAAAGCAGAGGATGAGGAAGGGACAGTGGCTTTTTAATCCAACAGCTTAATGACTGCAGCATCAGTTTCGGTGTGGGAAGTCTGTGTTTCATTTCCTCTTCTGCTTGATGTCAGCCCACCTCTCTCATCTCAGGAAGAGCCCTGAGCACTGTATCACAGCCTGTACTCCTTCCTGGCTGCATTTCCGATAGATGCTTTTCAATAGCACTCTGTTAATAGAACTGACCACTAAATGCCCAGCTGCCAAGGTAAAGAACTACACTCCATCTTTCTCTGTGTTCCTGGGAGTAACTGAGATACATCTCAAAGCTCTGTGGCCTGCGGCATGGAAGTTGCTGATGTTACTCTTTGTTTGAATTAAGCAAAAAATAGATCAGTGAGCTTTCAGCTTGGCTCCTCTGCCTTGCAGGAATATTGGAGGTTAAATTTCTGGCAACATCATTTCATGAATTACTTGAAATGCCATCTTAGTCCTTTGAAATGTAGTCTTACCTTCTGGACAGAAAATGTGGGGAAACGTTTTCTGTCTGGTAGGTGCATTTATCTCCTAAATACTTAGAACTCATGTTTAGATTTTTTTTTTTTTTTTTTTTTATGAAGCCAAACTATTAGATGGAAGGTTTATGCAGCTGAATCTAGTATGTGTGTTTGTGGAATGCATGGTGCTGTGTGGGTACATCAAGTGAAAATAGTTTCTGTGTAAGGGGTGTAGAAAAACTCGAGTTAGCTATTTTCCCAGGTTTTACTCCTAATTTTCCATTCTTCAGATTCTTCAGTTTGAAGAAATTTTGGCCAACCCTTCTTACCGAGAGCACTTCCGAATCTACATGGAAAGGATGGACAAGATGGCTTTGATTGGTCTTTGGGAGTCTGTGGAGTATCTGAAGAATGCTAACAAGGTGGAATAAATTGCAAGTCCACATGACTTGTACATCAATGGGAATCTCTGCTTGTTGTGATCTTGATGTTAGGAAAGATCTTTGTATGTATGTTTTTTAAAACTATAGCATAGGATGGGTGCATATGTTTGAGGATAATAGGGCAATTAAAAATTGTAGACTGTTGTGATGATTGTTTAATACTGTTTTGTGTAGCAACATGACCTGTAAAAAGGATTCCTGATATACAAATATAGTAGAATCATTTCTCCCTCCATCAGAGAAAAACTTGCAGTAGTATTTTGGCTTTAGTTCTGTCAGCTCATGTGAAACTTAAAAGTACATTACTGTTTGATAGTCTCTACATAAACTTCTCATCTTGCCAATTACAGGTACCCCGTTTCATCCAAACCCATGAAAATTTATGTATATATGTTTAAAAAATATTTTGAAAGAGAAAGATCCCTTCCTTACTCTGTTCTGTTGCTGTATAAGCAGCTAAGTTTCTCCAGGAATTCTGCACTACTGCTAGAGGGAAGAAACAACACTATATTGTAGTTAGTGCTAAAATACAATAGGAATGAGACCTCTGAAACAGGGATAGGAAATACCACTTTAAGTTGCAAAAAGTATTCTGGAGCAGTGTTGCAGCGCAAGAATGGAGAGGAGAGAGTTGCTCTGAGCAGAAGGGTGGTTTTTTTAGGGAAACTTGTTTTAAAGGTCCAGGATTCACACTGGAAAGAAATACAAATTTCATTATTAAGTACAAGTGAACTTTTTATTAACTGTAATTTTATTACTGTCCTATGTAAAAAGATTCTATTCAATTGGAAAACACAAATAACATCCTGTAACCAAAGTGGCAAATTGTGGAACATGAGTAGTGAGGCACTAATACAAGCTGCAGAAATCACAACCGACTAATTCAGGCTAGAAAGTGTTAGTGAAGAGGGTTTGTCAGGCACTGTTAAGAGAGATGAATCGGTTTTGATTCGTAAAGTGCTTGTGATTGGAAAAGGTGCTGTAAATATTTTTATGACATTTCACCTGTGATTTCTTTCCTTGCTTTCAAAACCACATGTATAGTCCTTTATTCAAGACTTCCAGTTTTTTAAAAGGGATTCCAACATTCTGTGCTCCTGTTGCTGTTGACCACTCCCAGGTCAGCTTTGATTAAAAAAAAGGAGTGTCACACAGCTGTGCGGTTGTGATGTTGTCACGAGGCATGCAAGCACATTTTGCTACACTAAAGGAGTGGATAAAACCTTTTCCATTCAGATAACTTGAGAGGATGGTAATTTAAAGAGTAGAGCATGGGCTGTGCTGCGTCACTTCCTCCTTCCTGTTCATTACTGCAAAGTTCAATCATGTGTGCTGTTCTGTGCCTGGTGGAAATACCCAGCCTCGTATACTGGTAAATGTCTCTTCAGGAGTGCTTTTTCCTTTTCTCTTTTTTTCTTTTTTTGTGTCTTTTCCCCCTCACAAATTAAATACAGCCATGTAGAAAGTGAGTTGATCCTGTCCATCAGAAGACAGGAAAGCCAATGCAACTTAGTTCTACAATCTGAAGTTAAAATGGTGATCACAATGTTCCTCTAGCACAGCTTTCCTCTTAGTATTGGCTTTTGGAGCATACTTTGAAAACCAGTGGGTTTGGAAGCTGTGTTAATTGTAGGGCACATCTGCTTCTTCACTTAACAAATACTGGTATTTATTTTGTATAATTGACTATTTAGCATAGGTGTTAAGGCAGAGATCTTGATCTCAGTAGGAGAATTGCAGATGTGTTCCTGTACATCTGGGCATGAAATTAGCTTGGTCATCCCTCACATTATGCACCTGGATCCTAAGTCATCCTGACATTTTGAACATTTTTCCATTGTTCTCTCCCTCCTTGATTTTTAGGCTGAAATACCTCAGCTGGTGAGTGAAATTTATCAGAATTTTTTTGTGGAAAGCAGAGAAATACCTGTGGAAAAATCCCTTTATAAAGAAATTCAGCAAAGTCTCGTGGGAAATAAAGGCATTGAAGTATTCTACAGAATTCAGGCAGATGTTTATGAAACTCTAAAGGACAGATACTACCCCTCATTTATTGTCAGTGATTTATATGAGAGATCAGTTAAGAAGGAAGAAGAAAGAAGTTCTGCTCAGCTAACTCCTGAGGACAAAGATGAAGTGGTAAGTCACATGGACACTTTCTTTCACTGCTATTTAAGGAGGTCTGAAGATGATCTTGAGTAAAGCATATACTAGTTTCCTATGTCCTTGAGCTTTGAACTACTTTTTTTTTTTTTTTTCTGATGAATTAAAAAATATGCTCACTGGCAGTTTCATCAGGTAAACATGGTAAGTATACAAGATCTTTGAAACAAAATAATAGAATCATAGGTTCGGGTTGAAAGAGACCTTGAAGATCATCTAGGTCCAACCCCCATGCATGGGCAGGGGCACCTTCCACTAGACCAGGTTGCTCAGAGCCCCAACCAACCTGGCCTTGAACACTTACAGGGAAGAGCCATCCACATCTTCCCTGGGCAACCTGTTCCAATGTCTCACCACCCTCACACTAAAAAATATCTTCCTAATTTCTAAACTAAATCTCCCCTCTTCCAGCTTAAAACTATTACCTCTCATCCTGTCACTACACACCCTGGTGAAAAACCCCTCCCCAGCTTTCCTGTGGGCTGATTCAGGTGCTGGAAGGCCACTATAAGGTCTCCTTGGAGTCAGATAGAACAATCCTGATCACTGTGCCATGCTTCAGGGTCTTTGAGGTGAAAATAAAGTGAAAGAAGTTCTAATTTTTGAAGCTTCCAGTACCCTTTCAATTGTTGGTGAAAATGCAGTACTGGCTAATAGGTTTGGGTTTTTTTTCCTCTGCTGTGTAGGAAACCACAGATGAGAAATCTGATGTTTCTGGGGGATCCATATTGTTAGCAAATACTAATTGGTTTGGGTTTAGTTCGGGTTTTGGAGGTCTAAGTCCTCACTTCCTGGCTCACCGTGGGAGTTACACGTGTTAATTTTCTATACATTTCATTGTTATAGCTGGCTATTTAAAAAGCCATCTAGTGTCCTTATGGAGGGGAGAACGAAAAGGTTACCCCTGATTAAACGTGATAAAATCAAATCAGAAGGTAGGAATTGCAGCAAGGCCAGACTCTTCTGGTTCTGCTGAACTTGAAACAAGCTCTTGCTTCTCCTTCCAACCAGTCATGGCTTTTCACTCCTTGGACAAGCCTCCTTTAGAAGATCATGAATGGACACAAAAATACAAGCAGTGCCTGCATTCAGCACTTTGAGGAAAGAGCGTCTGGTGGTTGCATCAGTTCTGCATGTCAGGTCGCTAAAACACACCCAAAGTCTGTGTTTTGCAGCACTTTGCAGAAATGGAAATCAGCATCAGTTTAGCAAGAAGGGGAAAATAGCACAATCCTTTATGGTTTCAGCTTTGAGTGTTTTGGTTGTTTATTTGATAAATTTGATAATTTGTTTACAGGTAACTTGTTATCTTGTAATTCTAGCATTTGTGTGATAAACATAGTGATTCAGCAGTGTTTTTTTGCATTAAGTGTGTGAAATGTTAATGATGGAGAAATCATGTGCTTATTTGTAATTAATTGCAGTCCTTTGATTGCTAGACCCAAATTTCATACAAAAAGTCTTTTAATTCTTCGGTATTGAAAATAAAAAAATTCATTCCTTTTGACCTCTGTGCCTCTAAACAAGTAAAAGTTTTTTTTATTTAATGGTTCTGTTCAATAGTGTTTTGAGTGACACCTGGTGTCATTAATTATTAGTAGTATTATGTTAGTGCCAGGAGATGAAAACAAGCTTCCATGAGCTGAGCTGTGTACGCATGCTTGGAGGCATGAAGTTTACAGTCCGTGCAGAACAGACAGAAGAAAGGGGCATAGAGCTCATGTTTTTTGCTCAGTCACATTTAAGCAAATGCAGAGCTGGAAAAGGCCTTGGATTTCTTAACCTAAAACTCCTGACTTCTGCATTATGTTGCTCTTCCTTGTGCTGATCACACTAAGGAGATTAATTATTGTTGCTACTTTATCTCTTCTCATACTTTTATTTACTAAGATGTAAAATACTGCAGAATTTAGAGTAAGATTGTTCCTCTAAAACTCTCAGAAGACCATTAAGTATTACTCTAGTGCATGAGATTAGATTCATAGCTTCTCACAGATAAATTTAGATGTATTCAGTCACAAGTAGACCTCAAACATCTTTGAATGTGGCAACAGTAACATCCCTGTGTTCTGTTTGCTGTGTGTCAAGGCCTTCATGCCTATTTGGGGAAGTGCACTAAGAACGGGAAGGCTGAGGCAAAGGTCAAAAGAGGTTAAAGAGAATGTCACTGAAAGGTGTGAAGTTTTCCATTTTTTTGTGTGCCGGTAGTACACGAGATGGAAAAAGCTATTGTCTTGTCTGAATGAATATAAAAACTATTTATGAGGTTAAGATAATGCGTATGTGCTTTTAACACATTTTTATTAACACTTCTAAATACAGCAGTAAAATCTGTTTATGTAGAGAAAGGACAGTTTAGATTGTTCTGCAGGCTGATAAGTCTGTTTTGTGATTTGTTGTAGGCAGAACTGTTTGTTAAAACTATGGGGTTTGGGGTTTTTTTGTCATTCCCTCTCCATCTCATTACATTTCAGCTCAGAGCTAAGTATTTGCTTTTCTGTGTGGCTCAGAATATTGATCATGACTACTAATCTGTTGTTGCATTTAAAATAAACGCTGATTCTTCCTCTCATTAAAACTAAAGCCTTAGCTTGAAGGTCATTTTACACAGTTGGCAGGAGTTGCCAAAATGCTGCAGTACAAATTATAACAAGGCTTTGTCAGTTGTTTTGAACATTGTTGTTTTTTAATAGACTTATGCTTCATATAGAATCTGGTGGTCGAAATATCCGTTAGAACCTCTTACACCTACATTTTTGTCTATATCGAGAAGTGTTCTTATATATAAAATGCTTATGAAGCAAACAATAACAGTCTTGTTGTTCATATTAATGATTCAGTTATTCCCATCCTCTATTCCTAGAGCCAAAGTTGTGAAGAAACTACTGAAGAATGCAGCACAAGAATTAATGAACAGGCCAGTTATGCTGTAAATAAGCTTCGCCAGCTAAATGATAAGCTTGAGTATAAAAAACAGGCTCTAAATTCTATATGTAATTCGCCAAAACCCGACAAAAAGGTAAGTACCTTTACTGTCTTCAGACTTTAAAAAGAAATTATTGTATATTATGTGTGCTTTTGGATAATATCCGGTTGTTTCAGGCTCTTTTTGGACAAGGCAGATTGCTATTTCAATCAGCTTGCTATATAAAGTGAAGTCAGAGTTAGTTGGTTTTTTTTCTTCCATTCTTTTAGGCTATTTTAATTCAAATTGTAAATATGATTTATATTGCTTTGTTTGTCATAGAATAACTTCTCTCCCAGTGATCTTGCAGCTTTGTTGGTGACAAATACTATTTTTCCTTACATCACTACCCACCTGTATCTATGTAATTCCTTATGGCAGCTTGTTTCGTGTCCCTGAAGCATCTGCAGCACTGCGCCGAGGGATATGCTAGTTAACCTCTGCTCCCTCTGCTGGCTTTGAAGTGGCACAGCACAATTTCATAATCGACAGTTGTTACTGGCTTGCTTAAATAAAGGGGAAAAAAACCCCAATCCTATAAAAGTAGCTGACCTGCTTTATAAGAATCTAGGAAAAATCTGCAGGATACACTTTCCTCAGACTAAAAATTTTGAGCAATATGAAACTTCTGCTCTCTGGTGTGGATTAAAAAAAAATAAATTCTTTTTGCAGAGTGCAACAGTTAAGCCACCTAAGAATATATTTAGGTAGAAGCAAGAGATTTACATTTGGCTTAGGCCAAATTATTTGCATTGCCATTGAGGATGATGCTACAGCACTGTCGTTCAGACACAGCTGGGCCAGGCTTTTCAGGTGTAATGAGACTGGTTGCAAATGGTAGATTGTGGGTGAGACAAACAGCCAAGGTATCTCCCTAAAATGGCCTCCTGCTATGGATGGTAAAAATGCACCTGGGCATTAGTCATTTCTAGGACCTTCACTCAGCGTGAGTGCTAAGATGCTGGTCTGAAGAGAAGCTGACACACCACTCATCTCTGCTGCACTAGCTCTGGGGATAGCTACCTCTAAAGAGAAAGACGTGGACAGTACCCTGGCTAGCTTCATTCCCTCTGTTCCTTCTGTGTCTCCCTTCTGCTGGAGTTTACTGCAGACAACTGGAAATGTGTCCCCAGCTATTCTTGGGTGTCCTGCTCACAGCTGCTCTGCTGCGTGTGTGGGCTCAGCTGGCGGAAGAAACCTCTTCTCTGTCATCCAACCACTGCTGTTCAGAGTGGCTAGAGTACAGATGTGTGCTTTTTTTTTTTTTTTTTTTGTTAATGCCTGTATTACTGTAGTAACATTTGCCTGTGGAGCTTTTAAAAGGATACCTGGGGGAGACAGTATGAGAGCACATTGTCACAGGGACTTAATTTTTTTTTCACTGGACGTGGCAGGTAAAAATTTGGTTCTGCAGTTCTGTGTCACATGAAGGGGAAAATCATGTACATTTTGGTTTTGTTTTTTTTTTACTTCAAGCTGTGCCTGGGTTGTTTTCTCTTTTTGAAATGTCTTTGCTGTGAGACCCATACAAAACATATAGATACATCTTTAGGTGGCTTCTAGCACTGTGCAAATCAGATGCCAGTCAGTCAGGGAAGAAATCTGCTCATCTGAGTTGCACATAGAATGCTTCTAGTTTTAAAAGAAAATGCTCTATAGGGATAGTCTTATTTCATTGGAATATAAACAGTAGCAAAGATGAGAAGAGATGGCAAGCAGTATCAGGCAACATCTCTGACATGGGAAGCCCACTGCCACAGAAGACATCTTGATCTTTGGTGGTTTGTGACTGTGGTGCTTCAGTCTGTGTCTCATGGCTGGAGCTCAGTGTCTGTCTCCCTTGGGTCTGTGAGTGCAGACTCAAGCCATCCTGTGCAATCACAGTAAATTTGCAGGAATCACACTCTTTTTAGAGTTCAGTCTTGTAATCCTTAGTAGCAAAGCAAAATCTTAACATTCCCCACACAGAGCACTTGCTAGTGCTTGCTGAGCTGTATTTTCGAACAAAGAATGTGCAACACAATTGTTGAAGTTAAATGGGACTACCGAAAAGAAAAATTCCTTTGCCTCTATCAGGAATTATGTGAAAGTTGGAGGGATTTTATATTAACTTTCTCAAAACTTTTGTATTTCCAGTGGAGCTTCAAAACTCACTTGGAGAAACTGTAAGAGGCACTCTTATAACCAACTAGGTTTTAAGTTAAAATTTGAACCACGAGTCAAAAGAATTAGAAGTACAAAACAAGTGCTAAACAAAAGCAGGTGTGTTTGTGTGTGAGTGAGTTGGGCCATAACATTTATTTCTGTAGCGTTACAGTTTATATTTTTTTTCTTTGACATGAAAAGTACTATATAACTAAATATTCTTTCTATGACTAAGCTCTTGAGGGGGATTGAACCCCTTCTAAAGTAGTGGGATTTTCACTGTATTTTTTTTCTCCTGAAATATTTTTGTCTTTGATAATGTATACATACAGAACAATAAAATCGATCCAGTCTTGTTATAAAGTCTCAGTATTTGTTTTGTAAGAGTAGTAGATACTTACGATGAAGATTTACCAGTTCTTCTGTATTTATCAGTTGTTCCTGGATGCCACTTGTAGGAGTCTGTGTAAGGTGACTGCAGAGCAATCTGTATGTGTACAGTAAATAAAATACAAAATTATTCTGAAGGTTAGGTATATGCTAGGAAGTTGTTATTAGCTGTTGTGTAGATAATAGTTCAAGACATCCGACAAAAATTCTGAAAGACAGAATTACTGCAGCTGTGTATAAGGCACCACTTGTGGTGCATGTAATACAACTAAGACTCAAACATTTGACTGTGGTATATACTATTTAAAAATAAGTGTCAGCTTCTGCTGCGTTTCTGGTGTCACATCTTGTGTATACTTCCACCTGTTCTTGTCATACTGGCTCCTGGTAGTATATGTGGTTACTTTTTTTTTCTGTTGATGTGATGAGATACACGAGGTCTCCTTTATGAGATTATGATGGTGTGCTGTGCCTTGATGAGAACATCTTTTTAAATGTGTGCTTTACACTGTAATAAATCCTTCTCTTTTCAAAACTAAAATTAATTAAATGGTAACTTCCTGAATGGCTGCTAACATAGCTGGTTTCCTAGAGATGAAATCTATTCCCAGGTTTTTCAGTTGCATCATGTATATCTGAAAATGGTAAGAAGGATGTCTTTAGTAATGCGTATTTCAGCAATTGCAATTTCAAGTTTGCATAAAACATATAATGTGGTAGTAACATGTCCTTCTAAATTGCTTTTTTTATTTTAATATCGGGGCTGCCCTTTAAGATTACTGTGTTTTCTACAAGTTTCTAAGTGTCACAGATTCTCTCACTGAAGAATTTTTTTTCCATGTGAATTGTTCTTTCTCTTCCTGCTTCTGTGCTTCTTCTCCTTTCCTAATAGAGACTAGGCGTGTTGCACAAGCTTTTTCTTACCAGCTGTAATCAGTAAACTTTTCTCCACAGATTGTTTCTAAGCTGAAGGATGAAATTACTCTGATGGAGAGAGAGCACAATGACCTTCAGCTGCACATTGCAAGAACGGACTGCTGGTGTGAGAATCTCGGCATGTGGAAAGCCCTCATTGTCTCGGGAGAGGTATTTTTTTAATGGCTTTTTGTCTCCTGGGCCAGTTATAAGTTGCATGAAGAGAAGAATAAAAAACTGTGTATACTTTCCTTATGCCTTTGTGTACAATGTATATACTTTGTTTTTACTTGTGGGGAGGAGGAAAGCCTAACTTCTCCTGAACTCCTATTTCCCAGTGACTATTGTGGTGCATGTGCAAAATTTCTGGCCCTCAAGCACTCTTGTAATGTAGTTATAAAAACACCTGCATGCACCTTAACTGGCTGGGCACTGGGTAATTTGCTATCTCAGGGGCATTGTTTTTAGTGAGAATTGTCTCTTGTTATATTACCATGCCATCACACTTGGGTGCAGTTGTGTGTCTACAGTAGTCACAAAGATGAGTGCTTACACTTTTTATGTTTTGTATTATTATATTTAACGGCAGTACAGTTTCTAGGGACTAGAATACCCAGAAAGAAAGTGCTTTAAATCTGTAAGTTGAAGGAGAAGGTAAATTTTTCTTTTTTAAAATTTTTTTTTTTTGGTTCTGCTTTTCTCTTTCACTGTAGGCAGGCAATTGTAGAATTAATGTTTAAAAAGAAAAAATATAATGGAAACAAAAAGTATTAACATCAGTTGGCTTTGTATTAACACTTGCCATGAAAGGAACCCATTAGATTCTCATCGTGTAGTAACTGTAGTCTCACATTGTCCACAAGCAATCTTCGTAATGGTATCACTTCAGAGAATGAAAGTTTAGTTGGATCTCTACTGGCTTGTCCCCCTGTGCTACTAAGAAAATATTCCTAAAATAAGTGTAAGCAGTTCCTTGCTTCTTGCTTTGTTTGTGAGGTTTGTTGTTGTTCTTGTTTAAAAAAAAAAGCTATTTGCTGTTGAGTTGATTTGGTTGTGTCTTGAGCTCTTTCAAACTATTGCCAGGTCTGTCAACAGTTAAACTCATTGCGTGTAGAGGAAGAAACAGGTTAAAAACTTAAGGTGACATTTTAAAAAACAAATTATCAATGTGTAAATGTCTGGATGTGTTCTAATGCTGTTTGCAGGTGACAGCTGAGAGCAGTGAAATGGTTTCCTTTAAGAGTTCTCTGTAGCTTTTGAAGCCTGCTGTTAAAACCCAGCAATACCCTGTGTAGCAGAAGGGCAGCTTTCTGGCAAGTGGCACCGTGCAGGGCTGCCCAGTGTCTGCTTTATAAACACATGAGAAGGTGTTTTGTTTAAATGAGAGGGAGTTTGGGGGAGGCTTCTAATTACTTGCTACCATAGCTATAACTTATAAATAGTACTGGATTAGATAACTGAATTTAGGTTTGCATTAATTGTGCTGTTTACAGCTCTGTGTTTCTCAGGGTAGGCTGGAGAAAGCATTAATGTAGTTATCTGTGTTTGTTAGTCGCTTGGAAATGTTCTGGCAGCTGTTGATTTCAGGGGATATGAGTAGGTAACGTTGTCTTTCTATCTGCAAAATACACTTACTGATCTCAGCGTGTAGCTCTGTGATTTTAGAGAGAGAGAACCTTTGTGGATGTTTTTTGGGTTTTTTTGGTAGAAAAGCTTAGTAAAAGTAATCATTGCTATAGAATTTGAGCTGAAAGTGTAATAGCCTGTCATTGACCTTTCAAACGGATTCACTGAACCAGAGAATGGATAATGCATAAAAAAACACTACTTAAGATGTGGGGAAAAAAAACCTGTGTCCAAACTTGTTTGTACTCTCTTAGCTTGAATCTTTCAGCCTGGTAGTTTTGAATAATATAAATGCACTAGTTATGTGTGTGTGAAGTATATATAAAAATAACCAATGTAAATGGTGTAAACTACAGATGTTTTTTTGTAACTGCTATTTCTGATAAAACCGTATGTGGAGAGTCAACGTTTTGGCTGGTTGGTAGAGGTTGAAAAAAGACTGTAGGAACATGCAGGATGAGGGGACCTGTGATAGCAACTTGCCTAGTTTCGAGTCACTTCTCCATGACAGGTGTATTCTCCCTGTACTAGCGGGTACAAAACGTACAGCTACGTAACTTAATCTGCTCTAGTAGCTTTAATGGTTTTGGCCTTGTACCATTTCATGTTGTAGCAGACATTCTGCCTCCTCTGTCTGAAAACAGACTGTTTCAGAACGTAACATCTTTTAAATAATATTACTTTCCTAAGGAATGGAGCATGTAGATGTAAGGTGAAAAAATAGCTTGTCTTATTCATTTAAATATCTTGGAATTTAGGATGTTTTTGCTTGGTGAAAGCTTAGAAAACATTTTTTAGTTTTAGAAAAAAAGCTTCCTTTGAGTTGAGGAAAACCACCGTGTGCCGGATACACCTTCTGCATGGTCTTTCTGCATTTAAAAGGGACTTTTAAGGGACTTTTTTTTTTTTTTTTTAAATAGCAGTCTGGTTAAACCCCTATTTCAGTTCTGCACAGTTTGGGTGGGCTGTTTCAGAGAGCTTCTCTGACTGAAGGAAGTATCTGATGAGTCATACAGCTCTTCATTGGCTTAATGACTGGTCTTAATTTTTATTAAGGTTTAATAATTCCTGATGGATGTCTAGACCTGGCCCTTAGTGCTCCTAACAGGTGACTCAACAGCTTTGCTTGGCAACTTGTTATTTTACTGAACTATTATTACAGTTTTTTGCTAATGTTTACATTTTATCTACTGGAGCTAATAGCTGTATCTTCTCCTGGAAAGTATTTAATAGTATTTATTTCTCATTTGTTTTTGCAATATTTCTTTATATGTTTCTTACTGTTACCACACCACACACCCTGGTATGAGGTGCTCACCACTGGCATGCACCTTGTAGTTTTTATTAATGGATGTAGGTGTCTCAACATCCTTGTCCATATCTCTCTCTGTCCACCTTGGGTATTTGTGCTACACAGGGAGAAGGTAGAAGTCTTAATCGTTTATGGAGTATGTACCTGTGGCATGCCAGTAGGCAGTAAATTCTGAAATAATTTATCTTACATTGTCTGGAGGCTATGGAGTTGCTGCCAATGCAAAAAAAAACCCTGGTGGCCTGAAGCCACTTTGGATATTTGAGGGCAGATTCTGTCCTTGCCAGGTAGGTGAATAGCAGTGAATAACCTGAAAAGTTCAAATATAAACTGAAGGAAGGGACTGAAAAGGAAACTTGTGAAAATGCCATCCTAGAGGCTAATTTGAGAGCCCTTGCCAGTGCTGTGAAACCATCATGGCTGAAACTATCACAGGAGGGCTGGACTTGGAAACCAAACCAGAGTACAGATGTTACATTTATGCGTATGTAGAACCAGAGCTGGAGGAGGGTTAGGATGGTTCTCAGAAAGAACTGGATGATTTTTTAGGATGGGAGTAATAGAAGTGAAGTGTTGTGAAATCTCACAGCGTGGCATGCGAGCTTTGGTTTTCAGTGGAACTCTGGGCTTTGGCTGTGACCCATTGGGAGTCACCCATTGGAGAGGCTGCCTCTTGGCTGGAAGCAGTAATACATTGGTGGCTTGTCAGAGGTGCATTTCATCTTGAGTGGGCTGTAGGTGTGAGAAAGGCGAGTGCAGCCCTCAGATACATCAGGAGAGGAGTTTTGGATGATTAAGAGACTGGAACATCTATCATACAAGGAAAGACTTAAGAGACCTGGGGCTGTTTAGTCTTGAGAAGAGAAGGCTAAGAGGGGAACCTTATTACTGTCTACAAGTATCTGAAGGGTGGATATCAAGAATGGGCCAATCTCTTTTCAGTGGTGCCCTGTGATAGGACGAGAGGAAATGGCATCAAGCTACAACACAGGAAGTTCCACCTCAACATGAGGAAAAACTTTATTGTGAGAGTGATGGAGCCCTGGAACAGGCTCCCCAGGGAGGTTGTGGAGTCCCCTTCTCTGGAGACTTTCAAGAGCTGTCTGGACGTGTTCCTGTGTGATCTGTCCTAGGTGATCCTGCTGCAGCAGGGGGTCAGGACTTGATGATCTTCACAGGTCCCTTGCAATCCCTGGGATTCTATGATTCCATTGCAGACAAAATGTTACAGTCAGTCTGTGGGTGCTGGAACGTTGTGTTTGAGAAGGGTGGAATTGAATGGATTGTCTCCCATGAGACCGCTTCTGGTTAGCTTAGCAAAAGGGGGACTCAGAAGAATAAGGCTGTCTGTAAAAACAAGGGTAAACATAATGGAGGGGTGAAGGGTTGTTGAAAAAAAAGGGAAATTAGTTTGGAAATTGAAAAGAAACTTCAAATGACTAGGGTAAGTGTCCAGAGCAGAATTTTAGTGTAAAGAGTATGGAAAAAAAATAAAATTGTTTCACAAGTTTTAATTCACTCATTATAGCAGTTGTATGAGATGGTGCCTCTTGCAGCAAAGGACTATATCTGGTTTAGAAGACCTCCTAACACCCCATTTGGATGTTTTCCAGTTGACTCATTCATTTGGAAAAACAAATGCACAAGTACTTAAGTTGGTAAAAAATTTTGCTTTCTTAAGAAGATCCTGAAGACTTCCAGATTTTTATTTGAGAGTATTTCAACAAAGCTGTAAGATGTCACCATCTAGTAATTAGAATTTAAAAGATTTTGCACTTGAAATTAACTTGAAAGCAGGAGTACTAATTCCTCCCTTTTTGAGAATGTTCTTCCAGAGGGATGACTCTCTCCTGACAGTTCCAGTTCAGATGACCCTGCACACATGCAAATCCTTGCTCTAGGGACATGTGTGATGGAGAACGATGCGCATGGTGCACATCAGCATTTTCAGCACTGATCTCCCAGTTTTCAAAAGTGGCTGCCAGGAGGTGTTTGTAAGTCACCTACAAACACAAATCCAATCTAGCTCAGGGGCAGACAGGGCAGGGACTGTCCCAGGAGATCCCAGTCCCTCTGTGCCAGGTCCCTCTGGCCTGCATTGTAGAGGCTACTGAAGCATCTCTTTCTGCAGTAGTCTGACAGGAGTAAAGGCAGTTCCCCATATAGGTGTGCTGCAAACCAGGCACATTTTCAGACATTCAAGCTGGTGATTTGTATTCTGAGTGCTGCTGCAGCTTTTTTTACAGAAAGATGTGAAACCCAGGCCTTCAGTAGCATGAAGTGTTGTCAGATATTTAAAGGTTTATCTGAAAATGTCATAGTATAGAAATTGTAAATTTCATTCTTATCCTAATTGGATTAGTTAAATGTTCATTTTAAAAAAAGCCCTCAAAACTTAAAAAATGTTACTTTCCTCAAAAAGACTGTGTGAGAGTGGTATTTTAGAATTACCTTTGTGTTATTTTCATGTATACTAAGACAAGCATTCGAGAGTTTGCCTTGGCCAAAAAAACTTGTGCAATTCATGCATTTGCCATATTGGCTGTTCATAATCTATTTAGTTGTCTCCTTAAAATAAGTACACAAAAATCTGTTACCATTAGGACATAAAGTTGAAATTCTGGGTGGCTCATCAAATTAAGAAATAATATGGTCACACTGTTGCCATTGTCTCAAGAAACTTTGCTGTAGTTTTTTCCATTTGCACAATGTGGTTAATTGCTTCTCCTTCCTCTGGCTGTTGTACAGTGTGATTCATTAGTATTTCTGTAAAGTTGTGAGTCCTTGGAAATAAACACCGTGTGGTTGCCACACGTTCTGTGCATTCAAAATAGCTCACGTAAGCAGAGAAGTCACTTAGACAGCACCAGCTGCTGCAGGGCCCAGCTGCAGAGCTGCTGTGCCTGGCGTGTGGGTGAGCCTTGGCATAAGCACTGGGGAGAGAAGAGTGGGAATAATGGGAGAACAGTCAGGAAAATGCAGATGGGAGAGCTGGAGTATTGGTAAGCAATCAGAAAGATAAGTGGTACGTTCCTTAAAAACTGAAATAATACTTCCTGTTTTTTGAAGAAGATACATTAGGGACCTTTGATTGCTGATGGGCAGCATTGCAAAGCTGTATGTAAAGTGTAATAGTGGCTAGCTGGGACAACTGATTCATGACTGACAGAATTTTGGGTACAGTTTAGTCTGTCAAGGGTATTGCTCCATGTGTAGCTGTCAGACTGCAAGAGAAGCATGGGACAATGATGACGACATCCGAGAGCCCAGTGTTCCACTGTTTGCTTTCAAAGTAGCATACCTTTATCTGTTGGTTTCCTTCCCACAAGGTTTTGGAAGAGAATGGAGAACAAGTGCCCTGTTACTCTGTCATGGTGAGTTTACAAGAAGTTGGTGGAGCTGAAACTAAGAACTGGACTGTTCCCAGGAAGCTCAGCGAGTTTCAGAACCTACACCGGAAACTCAGTGAGGTATGAATCTCATTTAGGGGAGGGAGAAGATGCAAATTGCTAAAATTAATCACAGTTATGCTTGGAGAGGGAAACACCAGATACAAAATTTTAATATTGCCAGTTTCTATGCCAGCCTTTTGGCTTTTAGCCTTTTAGAGCTCGTTTTCTCTCTGCTTATTTCTGGCCTCTGTCAGATGCTTATAAAACTTGATTATAAATTTTATTTTATATTTTTGCTTAATAATGTTTTACTGGACTAACCCAAAATGGTATATACTGTCCTGCTATATGCTGTCATGCAAGATGCTGTTTTAAGAACTAGATTTTATGTCTGTGTTCCAGGGAGGTACAAGAAAAGACAGCTTTTGGGAATAGAGAAGGTTTCTTTTTACAGTGCTTTAACCTTTCTGTTTGATTAGGAATAGATAATGATGGTGGTATGAATGCAAAACATTTAGATGTGTCAGCCCATAGTGAGTAAGGGAGGTTGTTTTTCAAGGTGCTTAGGAGGGTGTGGAACTGAGGTGAGAATACAAAGAAGTCTCTAAATTTCTGCTCTGAACCACCTGTGTTTTTCTGCGCACGTTTTAAGTGAGATCTCCTTTCTTCTACAGTGTTTTACATCATTAAAGAAAGTTCAGTTGCCTTCCCTCAGCAAACTGCCCTTCAAATCCATAGACCAGAAATTCATGGAGAAATCCAAGAACCAGCTCAATAACTTTCTACAGGTAAAAACAACAGCAACAACAAAAATGCAGATGCTAAACAGGAGAACCAAATTGTGCCTCCGGAGTGAATGTCATCTGTCTATTAACTAAGGAGAGAGCTTAGAACAAATAGGTCAGTTGTAAGGTGTAATGCTCTAGTGGTAAGTTAATTTAAACCTTCATTAATTAAGAAATAGCAAATCCTGTAAATTGCCACTTTTAACTCGAGTACTTCACAACAGATTTCTTGAAAATTAGAACTTTTTATTTAAAAAGATACCTGTAAGATTTAAAGCTTTAATCTTACCAGTTCTAATACGTTATAACTAGCTTCTTAAAGTGTCTCTGAAGTATCTTTGTGAGACAGGGTTTTTTTTTTTTCCTTATTCTGCCTCTGAACCATGCCTTAATCAGTTTTATTGAATGGCCTGGCACATCTTGCTCTTTAACAAGAAATATTTAATTTATATATTCTTTCTATCATTATTTTTCTTTTGTAGAAATTGCTCTCTGATGAAAGACTCTGCCAGAGTGAAGCACTTTATGCCTTCTTAAGCCCTTCCCCAGAGCACCTCAAAGTTATTGATGTGCAAGGAAAGAAGTCATCTTTTTCACTCTCCTCATTTCTAGAACGACTTCCTGGTGATTTGTTTTCTCATCAAGAGGTAAGTGGTAGAAAAGCAATCTTTCCAAATTTAATTACTTACTCAAAGTAAGCAGGGAGAGCCATTAATATGATGCATTTGAATGACAGATAATATTGGAAGGTAATTTTTCATTTACTGTAAATGAACAGGGAGTCAGAAGTAAGAGATGCCTATTAATTTAAACAGATGTTTATTAATACAACAAATTTCCTGCCCTTTGATAAACATGTATTTGCAAATGTGTAACCTGTCACAAATGAAAGAATTACACTTCATATGGGATTGTTTACTTTTTATAGCAGAATTTCCTGCTTCCTGTGCTTTTGACATGTATATTTCCAAGGGTTTTTGACAGGTAAAAACAATTTTTTCTTAGGAAGCTTCTCTTGGCAGGGAACAGCTGTCTGTCCTTAATAATTTCTGGACAACTATTGAAGAAAAACTAGTTTTGACAAAACTCTGGTGAGTGGTACAGGCTCACTGATGGAATTTGCAAATACGGGTGGGAGCCCGTATGGGCAAACCAGTAGGAGAATATGATACTAAGCCTTAAAAAACTATTATCTTTCCAAATACAGTGAAAAATAGATTGGTGACTAAAATACCTCATTGACTAAAACTGGACATCATTCCATAGCTCTCTGTTCTGTCTGGTTCATACTGCAGATATACAGCCTCCAAGGTGCTGTTTCTAGATATAATTCTTACATGCTGTAGGTGTCTGCAGTGGATGGGCCTTCTGCAGTATAAATGGAGTTTGGGGAACTTGTACAGTTCTAGCCTGTTAATAGGCAAAAAGATGGTCTTGCATCTCTAAGGAACAAGAAAATCCTATGTATTTTAATTTTTCAAAATTGCACTGTATTTGCACCTAGCTGCTGAATGCATATGTCTCATTTCAGAGTAATAAATATAAACAAAGTTTGAGAAACTAATTTTACACTTTGATAGTCATACTACAGTTCTAAAAATAAAATTACATTCACTAAAATGACCGCTAGGTAGAAGTTGCATAAAAGCATAGAAGCAAGAAGCTGTTTGTGTTTTGCTATTTATCTGAAAAACATCCTAAAAACAAAAAGCCAGACTACATGTAAATGGTATTACATGAGTGTGTAGGAGGAGATAGTTACAAAATATGGGAGAAGGAAGGGGAGTTTGTAGTGAGAATGAGTGACAGAGGAGAGAGAACAATGAAATGAAGCAACTGGTAATGAAATCTGAAGTAAGTAGAGCAAAAAATGCCCAGAGAATGTGGAAACAGAGTAGCTAGAACATAACTCCGTTTAAATTTAATACTATTTCTGGTTTGCTGCTTGTGGGAGTAGGAGATTAATTTTGGCTAGATAATATTTTGCCAGGCACTGTGCAAATGCAGACAAAGACCATCCTGCTTCACATTGACCTTCACAATCCCCTCCTTCCCCAGTCTTAAACATGAGACAACAGAATACAGATGGAAGGACAGATGTTTGCCCTAGTTGAAAAATAATGATAAAAATTAGTGAAGGGAGGGGAATTGTAAGGCAGTCTGGTATCAGCCCAAATTTTCTTGCTTACCCTTGTCTTTCAGTGTGAACTTTAGGTGAGCTCAGCCTTCCCAGTGACGATGTTTCAGATAATTTACTAAAGCAGTTAAAATAGGGTTAAATAATTTGATACAAGGTCACCAGTGAAGTTAGTTGTCTCAAACGACATGTTCCAAAGCTGTTACAGTTGTGTTCTCTTTGTAACTGAGTTCATATTTTGGACTTTTCTTTTAGAAGAGAAAGCAGTCATACACCTCTCTCTTTGCCTTTTACTTCTTGTGTTTTTCAAGCAACAGTATTACCTCTTGTGTGCTGTTTTCAGGGTTAGATATTGTTGCAATTTCAGATCTCTTGCACATACAGCTCCTTGGTCAGGGCTAGCTTTAGCACGTATGTCTTAGCTCTCAAGTCCAAAACGAAATCAAAGGAAAAAATGCAGCTGATACTATCCAGAGGAAGGGCTTTTAGTTTTGTGAAGTGTTAAAGGATAGAAAATACGCTTTTGTGTATGAATATACACTTCTCATTCCATTCTAAATGACGGGATTCTGAACAGCCGAAAAGTAGAGCAACAGCCTTGGAGAGGTCATCAGGTTTACCCTCCTGCTCCAAGAACACTCAGCTGTACCAGCAGAATTCTTAGCACGTATTTGTCTAAAGTGTTTTTGAAACTCTGATAACTGATGTTCTCTAGCCAAGCAAAGCAGCATATCCCAGTTCTCAGCTAGCTTTATAGTTAGAAAACTTTCCTTACCTAAATCTCTCTTCTGTAGCCAGTTAGCTCATATCCTGTCTGCAGCAAACACAGAATAGTTTGGATTAGGATCATCTCAGTTATCAAGAGTTGCTACTTTCCTTGTGTCTTTTTTGTTTCTTATGCTGAACAACCCCAATATCTCCTAGTTTTTGTTACTTTTATTTTATTTAGTTCTTATGGTTTTGCTCTGGAATTACCTGATTATCCATATTTTTCTTGGAAATGCGTTGACTAAAATTTGGAACATGATGCTTCCACAAGGCTTTCCTAATCCCATGTATGAAAATAATTTTTATATCTATGTGTGTATGTATGTGATACAAACAGCGCTTGTGCTTAAACCTCATGGTATTCCACTTGCCTTTTCCACAGCAGTATAGCACTGAGATCTTTTTCTGTAGCCTTATCAATATAAATTGTTTTGTTTCCAGCAATTACCCAGTGAGCTATTGCTGCATTGCATCTGCCTTTATCAAACTGCACCCTGTGGGCTCAACTACAAATTCAGTAAGCTTATTCTCTGTTCTTTTGCCCAGGTGCTTAATGAAAATATGGAATGATGTCTACTAAAATACACATTTCCTGAATAATTAAAATAATAATTAAAAGGGCCAAGTAAACTATTGACTATAGGAAGCTGATGAGTAGCACTGGAGTTTGCTCTAGGCTGTGTCCCTGGAGAAAATTCTATTCATTATCAGTGAATTTGTGTGCTTGTGTGATAAGATGGGTAAAGATCTGTGGTTTCCTTTCTTGGTGTTTCATGTCATTATGGTGTAGCTTTTTTTCCTCCAGCCTTTGGTCACAGCTTACCCTAACAATAGGAGAAGGTTTTAAAAGCTGTGGAAGTCAGTAGACTACGTGGACATTTATGTGGGCTTTTTTCTTGTCTTTTTCTGGTTATAAGGAGAGGAGCACCATCTCAAGCAGTGCTAGAGAAAATGCCAAATGTGACACAGGAAGTGTATGAATATATAAGAATTGGAATATACAACACTGTGGAGTTAATTATTTATAGCCTACATGCAGTACCATGCCTGGAGAAGATTCAGGGACTGGAAGTGTACTCAAAGTGAATCATGGCCATTAGATAGGATTTGGAGACTGTGAGGAATGAATAAGACAAACTGATGTACAGTGACACACTGTAGGATACTCTCTGTATAGCAGGGTTCAAATGACAGGCAAGGAATGACTGTAATATTGTGGCCATAAGATAAGCATCAAAATAATACAATAGAAATAGAGCAACAAAGCAGATTTTCCAGACTAGACTTCTGAGAGGGAGAGGAAAAAACCCACAGTTTCAGATGAATGGAATGATAAGAAAGAAAGGAAGGCAAAGGAAAAGATGATTAATGTCTTTGAAAACCAGGGCTGGAGAAAGAGAATTTGACTGGACAGTATTCTGACCATTCCTGAACCAGAAACTTGGGCATTTCACCAGCCTCAGTGGGGATCAGGTCAACCTCATTGCAGCTTTGCTCTAAGCATAGGTGAGCAGGCCAAAATCCAGGTTGGTGGTGTAGTCTTGATGCTGAAGCAGATCTTCTTGATGCTGAGAAGCAATGTGCTGTCTGCTCTTCAGTCTTGAATAAATGGTATTGCCAAACTGAGGTTGTTCCTTCCCCAGAGCGTGGCAATAACTAAATCCATTCTGGAAGATGGATGGGGAACTGCAGTGCATACCCATGTTGTGTCTCCCTTCCTAGGAAGAAACAGAAGAGGACAGTGACCTGTCGGACTATGGAGAGGAGGTGGATGGGAAAAGGGACTCTCTTGCTGAACCGTGTTTCATGCTGATTGGAGAGATTTTTGAGCTGCGAGGAAGTAAGCTGTACACCTGCTCCTTTGCTGCTGGCATATGTTGGCCAAGAAATCTGGGGCTCTTTGTAATTCAGATTTTTCTGCTATTTCAATAAGTGAGAATGTTCTTGCAATCTACATAACCAGTTGCTTTGGAACAGAGCTGCATTTTCAGTTGTTCATAGCTTTGGTGCTTTCATGCTGGAACTGTGGCATCTTTCAGTTCCATACTTTTTTGCTTCTTTACGTAAGTGCGTTATGGTAATAAAGAAAACTTCTTTTGTTTCTGTTTGAATGTGCAGCCACGCTTGATACTCTGTAAAATTATTTACAGGGTAACTATTACAAAATGCAGCACCTTCCAAAAATAGCAGATGTATGTTCCAAATATAGACTTTCTTGTGCTAATGGAAAACAGCATGAAGGAAAGAATAACTAGTAGTTACTAGAAAGGAATCATATGTGTTTCCTTTATTTGTAATGAAAAGCTTATTGCTTGATTTGAGTGAAAGTGTTTTCAGAATTTTAATGACGCTGCTGTGTGTACAACACTATACTAGTGTTATGGAAAGGATGTGAATTTTGAGGGGTTTTCTTCTTTTGAGTAGAAAAAGGGTTTTGAGTAGTTATGTGGTTCAAGAAAATTGAAATATTCTTAAACATTTTTTACAGTATAAACTACAAATGCATATTAAAGGTAGGTTTATGTAATTTGCAAGACTTAAAAACATACAGTAAACAGTACAGGAAAAGCAGTCATGAAAAATGAGACCTACATATAATTAGTGAAATCTTATAGAGTATTTTAACAGGTATGTTTACTGTAGGGGTGGGGTTTTGGGGGACAGTGGGGGGAAAGGTTGATCATGGGTTCCCTAATGTTATTAACCTCTTGATCTTTATTTTCTGTCATTTTTCATTGTTCCAGTGTTCAAGTGGGTCAGAAAAACATTAATTGCACTAGTACAAGTCACTTTTGGAAGAACTATCAACAAGTAAGTAGCTGCTACTTTAACTGAACCTTCACGGGCATTCTATGGAAAAAAGGTGGAAAGCAGAATTGTATATTGTATATGACATATACATGTTGTATATCATAGAATCATAGAATGGTTTGCATTGGAAAGGACCTTAAAGATCATCTAGTCCCACGCCCCTTGCCTGGGCAGGGACACCTTCCTCTAGACCAGGTTGCTCAGAGCCCCAACCAACCTGGCCTTGAACAGCTCCAGGGAGGGGGCACCCACAGCTTTCCTGGGCAACAGTGTCTCACTACCCTCACACTAAAAAATTTCCTCCTAATGTCTAACCTGAATCTCCCCTCTTCCAGTTTTGATCCATTACCCCTTGTCCTTTCACTGCAAGCCCTTGAAAAAAGCCCCCCCCCCCCAGCTTTCCTGTAGCCCCTTCAGGTACTGGAAGGCCTCTATAAGGTCTCCTCAGAGCCTTCTCTTCTCCAGGCTGAACAGCCCAAACTCTCTCAGCCTGTCTTCATAGCAGAAGTGCTCCAGCCCCTTGTGGCCTTTCTCTGGACTTTATCTAGGAGCTCCACATCCTTCTTATGGTCAGGGCTCCAGAATTCGACACAGCACTCCAGGTGGGATCTCACAAGAGCCAAGTAAAGGGGCAGAATCACCTCCCTTGACCTGCTGGCCACACTTCTGATGCAGGTTGGCTTTCTGGGCTGCCAGTACACATTGCTGGCTCATGTTGAGCTTCTTGTCCACCATCACCCCTAAGTCCTTCTTCTCTGGATATGATAATCTGTGGTTTTTTTCCACAGCTCAATTTACAAGTATGTTGATTAGAAAAGACTCAGATATGTGAATTATCTGGTTCCTTATTTTTTCCTCCACACAGGGCTTTGATGTTGGAAGAACACATTATTTCATGGGGCTTCATTATATATACCTGTAAAAAAATTACCTGCTATTCTGTATTTTTCAATTATGTGCCTTGGAGTGGCTTTTATAAGCTTCTGCTTTTTCTTACAGCCCCATGAAATTTTTGCCAAATCTGAAACTAGGTTTCTGCTTTGAGTAATTACTTTCAAATCAAATACATATTTATCTAAAGTGACTGAAATAATGTTTATGCATTATGAGAACTATCAATTTTTAACATGAAACCTGTGCACGTGCAATGGTGGTGTGTTTTCATAAAAGTTTTTCTTCTGTTTGAAGACACATTTGCCAAGTGAGGCCTGGATGAGGGTATGAAGTAAGCATCCATGTCTATGAACACCTTTCATGTGTAAAGCTGCATCATTGGTCAGAACAATTTTGGAAAGTATTCCTTTTCTTGATGAATACAAAGGCCTACAGTAAAACTTCATTCAATAGAGCAGATGATTGATACAAACACATTTTCCATGACTCTTTGGTCAGTACTGATGCTCTTACACATGCTGTTTTTCTTATGAAACTCTGAATCTGTGATTTCTCTAGCACTGTTACATAGGTAGAGGGCCACTGAGAATCTCATGAAATGCATAATATTGCTTTTGTTTAGCAGTGAGACTACTGCTCAGGTAGGTGTCACAGCCCAGAAACCTGACAGCAGAACAGTGGCTAATTTGTACATACCAGCATGGCTTTCAAACCTCTCATGTATGTTACGTAGTGGTAGATTGGACAAGAAGTGATGGCAGGTCAAGCAGTTTACTTCCAGTGACCTGATGTTCTCTGACAGTACCCATTTGCTGAGTTTTCAACTGGTTGGTCCATTTCTCACTGGCTGCTGTTAACTAGCATGAGTGACACCTGAGGGAGGGCACAGAGAGGGTGTGTGTGTGAGCACTGCATGAATACAAAGTTGCTATATAGCTTTTTGCACGTTGGTTGAATTTTTTCATTTCTTAATTTCAGGGGTTCTGGCTGTACTGTAGCACAGTTAGGCAGTGCTGGCAGCAGCCTTGTGTCTACCTCAGACTATGTGTTGGAAGGCTACAATGAGTGCCTGCAGCCACAGGAGGAGGCTGCTCTCTCTATTTGTAATCCCTTCACTAATGTGCTGTTGCTATCAGTGAGGGAACTTAATGTGCTTTTATCAAAATTTCACAGGTTTTTATCCCACCAGGCACATCTGTGCATGCAACTAGTTTGGAGTTTGCCGTGATTACTTAGTGGATTTTAATGTCTTTACCCAGTGGAGACTTTGTACTGCCCATCCTTGAAATATATACACATTTCAGTGTAGTACTTGTAATTTGTAATCTATGTTTGTGGATTACATTGAAATGTAGCCTTTTCCACATTTCAGTCAGGTATCTGGTGTGACCTAGATCCTAGAGCATCCAGAGCTGAATGTGACTTGCTGTGGTACTGGTGAAATCAGCTCAGATGAAATGGGATAATTACAAGAAAATGTTTCCACTGCTTCCGGGAGTAAAAAGAGTAAGTCTGCATAAAACGTGAAAGATGAGCTCTGATGTGCTCCCTTCTGCACTTCTTTACAGGCAAATCCGTGACACTGTACACTGGATGTTCAGTGAACCAATGCTTGTTTATTACATTGGTGTGTTTCGAGATGCTTTTTGGCCAAATGGAAAGTTAGCACCACCACCAAGAGCCAAAAGTGAGGAACAAAAGCAAGAGACAAAACAGAGAGCACAGCAGAAACTACTTGAAAACATTCCAGGTGAGATCACTTTCATTTTCCTTAATCAAAGATTTAAAAACTAGTATGGAAACCGGTCAATCAAATTCTGTTCTGTGGTATTTTAGTTTTCCTGTAGAGTTGTAAATTATGGTTATTTGCATAAATAAGGATAATTTTGGCCTTACTCCTTGCCTCTCCTGTCTGGTGAAAGGCATGTATTCAGGTGGCCAGTATCACTGCACTTCTGTACATAATATTCATCGAGGAACCTAAGCTGACATAATATTTGTTGCAGATACTCTGCAGAGTCTTGTTGGACAACAAAACGCCCGTCATGGTGTAGTGAAAGTGTTCAACGCGTTGCAAGAAAGAAAGGCTAACAAGCATCTACTCTATGTGAGTAACCACAAGTGTACTAGCCTTTTATCTTTCTAATCCTGTTATTTGCTGGGCTCTGCTTTCTCAGTTTTAAAACCTGGGGTCTGTTTTTGCACAGATTTATGTTGGATTGTTGTTTTGTGTGCAAGTAACTTTTTTGTTATAAAAATAAGTCAGAGAAAACATACTTGGTTCTGACATTTGACTAATCTGAATAAAAAAAGCTGTTTAAGTTTTTGTCTAAAAGAGAGCCTCTACCACTTCCAACTTGCCTGACATTATAAGGTGCAAACTATTGTCGTCTTATAGCTGAGAAAAATAAACATACTTTGGAAAATCCTAGGAAGTAGAACTCTAGGACTGGCCACAGTTAAGACACAGCAGCCCTCCAGGAGTCCTCGTCCTCTGCTGTTGCTTGGGGCTGGTCAGAGTATGCCACTGGATCCAAGTGGCATACACTTTCAGTCTCTTGTGGCTCATTTCCTTCAGCAGCCAGTCCCATAATGCAGCTTCAGCACAGGAGTGAGCACAGTGTGCTCAGGAGGTGTGTGCCCTGGTGCTTGCTTATGTAGCTACCCATGGCTTTAACAGAACAGCAACAGTTTCTACTTGGCAGGAAATCCCTATCCAAAAGCAGCCACCCGTGGCACTTACCTTCTTTCAGCCTTAAGGTATTTTCCATATTATCTGTAGGGCACATGCTAACTTAAGTCTGAAAGAAAAGCAGTTGGATGAAGGATGAGCTGAATGACCCTGCAGGCTTCTGTTATCTGTGATGCTCTGAACATGACAGAAAGGAAAAAGAAACTCTAATTTGACACCTGCTCTCATCATAACTCCTTTCTGTTTTTCAGGTTTTGCTGGAACTGCTGCTAACTGAACTGTGTCCTGAGCTAAAAGCTCATTTAGAGCAGCTTAATGCCACTTAGGTTTGAACCTGCACAATTGGACCACTAGAGAAATGTCTATGTCCAATAATAGACATGAAACTTATTTTCCTCTTTTCCATAGAGGGCTGAGGACTACAACTATTTTTAGCTTTTTTTTTTCCTCTTAAGTTTTTTGTGAAGTAAACAGAATTGAAAAGATCTGATGCTGTAGTAGGGTAGACAAAACAATGCTGTATAGTTGCCAATTTTTATTTAAATTGTTCTATTTGACTACTCTTCTGTTTCAAATATAGATCAAAAAATAAATGTTCATATAAGCTGAAAGAAACCAGAAAATATTTTAAACATTTATGAAAATAAATTTTGCTTATAGTGGTAAACTGATGAATGTTGTACAGTTCTAATCTCCTCACTGAGGATTTGAGCATTCCTTTTTTCTTGTGTATTGAAAATGCCTTGTTGTGCAATACCACATGTAAAGCTATTGTGAAAATTTGATCCATTCTGTTTTTACCAAAGATTTCCCGTAGTTTGAAGCATTTGTAAGCAATAAATAACACAACTGGATTGCAGTACTTGATAATGAGGCTGTACTGACAACAAATGAATGAGTTTGACAGCACTAGCTTCATAAGGAATATTTACATTACTTTGAAGTCTGTGTTCAAAATACGTATTGTAAACTGGTATGTCCAAACCGAACGCCTGTGTTAAATGTTAGTTCAGAGACTAGTGCTTATGAATTGCTTCTATGAATGATTTAAGTAGACAATTAAACCATTCTAATTCTAATCTTCCCTGATATTACTCAGGGCTGTTTTATTCAAATACGCCAATTCAAACAACCTTCAAATCTTTCCCTTATTTTATACAAGGAAAGAGAATGATGTCTTTAGTGTTTGGGATATTTTTTAATTTATGAAAAATATATAAGTATGGTCTTAATGTTCATCTAAATAATTGAACATCATCAAAAATACTTAGGTGACACTCATTACTTTTTTTTAAATTCAGTATAGTCGTGCTCTTAGAAAAATTTCTTGCACTTAAGTCTGGCTATATTTTAAGGTACACAGAATCTATATGCTATATTTAAATCCATGTTTTTAGTAATATCTAATATCTACCTTCTGTTCCGATGGCTTAAAAAATGTTAAGTCACAGCACATTCTTAACAAGCAAGCCAGATTCTACACACATGAAGTTTTAAAAGTAAATAGGTATTTAGAAATGTGCAAGCTTACCATAGCAATCAGTAGAATTTACTAGTGGTTAATGAAAGTATCCTTTATTAAAAGACTCAGCATGACATTGCTCAGGCATATGCATGCCTAGGCAAAAGGTTTTCAACTATTTCTAATACTGACAGAGGCAGTTGGAAATGCAGTAGGAAGAAGGATTGAGGAGAACAGGCCTCATGTGTATTGAATGTTTCCATATTCATGTTTTTTTTCAATAGTTCTATTAGTAGTATTTTCTAGTTTTAGAAGTTGGCATGGTTTGAACTATAAAGCTTGGTGTCATACAGGCCAATCTCCAACTTGGAATCTCTGCAGTCTTGAAATATGTTAAGACACATAAATAAATCTAGATACATTAGAAAAGCTCATGAAAGAAAGTATATACACCACTAGCAAGGTCAGATTTAGGAATGGTGGTGACCTGTGAATGGGTTATATGTGAACACTAAACAAATTTGGGTTCAGGCTTTTAAGAATATTAAATTTTAATTATTAAATACTAAAAATGTAGAAAAGGAAACAACAAATTTTTTTTAGTTTTTGTTTGATTTATGTGCTATATAGCAGCATGACATGAAGAACACACAGGATATCTGTCCCAGTAAAATGTCCTTAATAAACCTTAAGTTTTCAGTACTGTTTTAAAAAGTCTGCCTTTGCCTCATCTCAGTTAAAAGAGTGTGAACTTTTTGCTTTCTCCTTTTTTTTAGATAAAAAAGAATCAGTGTTTTTCCTTGAAGTAGTAAGTTTTCACTTGCCATTTCAAAAGCCATTGCCAGGAGGACTGTGGTTCCCCACACAGAGGTCCCATGCAGAAGTACTGCTGTTGAGGTCTCCAGCTTCAGGGAGTGCCTCAGCCTGTCATTCATACCAGAGGAGGAGGTGGAAAGGCTAATAAGGAGTATCAGGGAGGTGTGAGAGGGAGATAGACCATTGGCCCAGCCGTCAGACAGGGCTGGTGATGTGGAGTGTGCCCTGTCCTCCCGCCACCTGGCTGAGCCTGATGGCCCTGCAGGATGGTGAGCAATGATGACAAGTTCCTGCAGGTGCCAGTGGCATTTGGAGTATGTCCCTCCAGTGACTGTTCCACCTCCCCAGCTGGCCTTGCAAAATAGGCATGATGCTCTGCAAGGGGAACCCAACAGTGATGAGGATGATGGTTCACCAAACTTGGAGGTACCACTGAGGCGAAGTCAGACCATGCCCTGCCTCAAAACCACCTCAGTTGAGAAAAAAAAGACTGGTCTTTGTCATAGGTGACTCATTTCTAAAGGGAGCAGAAGGCCCTATATGCAGGCCCAGCCCACTTCTTAGAGAAGTCAGCTGCCTCCCTGAGGCCAGGTTTAAGGATGTATGGAGAAAATTCCCTACCCTAGTTTAAGCTCTCTGATTACTACCCATTAATGATATTTCAGGTAGGCAGTGATGAGGTAGCTACCAGAAGTCCAAGGGCAATGATGAGAGACTTCAGGGCCCTGGGCCATTGGGTTAAAGGATCAGGAACACAAGTGGTGTTCTCTATCCCACCAGTTGCAGGGATTGATGAGGGGATAAACAGGAAGAGCCAGCAGGGATGAAGGCCAGAGGGCACAAGCTGGAACATGGGAAGTCCCATTTAAATATGTGGAAAACCTTTTTTATGGTGAGGGTCACAGAGCACTGGAACAGGCTGCCCAGGGAGATTGTAGAGTCTCCCTTCTCTGGAGATACTCAAGAGCTGCCTGGATGCAGCCCTGAGTAATGTGTTCCAGGGGATTCTGCTTTAGCAGGGGAGTTGGGACTAGATGATCTCTAGAGGTCCCTTCTAACTATGGCAATTCCATGATTCTTTGATCCATGATTTATATAAATGTTGAAAAGCAAGCAGTAAATGATAAGCAGTCTATAATTGCTGGAGATTAAAGGTGGTTTGCTGTAGGAAATACATTATGTACCAGTCACAGATAAAGAAAACACTTAATTCTCCCAAGATTAGCTGCCAGTTCAAGGTCAGATGGCATGCCTTTAAAAATAAAAATAGGGGGTTCTAGTTTATAGCTAAAATGAAATGTATGTTGTCAATATAACATTAATAAGGTCTGTACGTTTTTTTGACCTCTGAGGTAATAATTTTGTTAAAATATTAGAGAGTTAGTATATTCAGCTTTAAATCCCTGTTTCTGATGCATGTATGAAAAATTCTGCATTTAAAATGAGCACAATGACCAAAGCACATTGAGCCCACAGAACAAGGAAATGATGGGGTGGAAGACAGTGGATAGAAATTACACTAAGATGTGTGATGTGGTGAGAGGAAGAATACAGGTAGGGCTTCAAAAGGGAATGGCCAAGGCAGAAGTCTAGAGCAGATTTGTAGACTAGGGAGACAGTAAGGCAGGGCTTAATATGGGCTTCTTGGGGTTCTGGTTCAAGGCTGCTTTGGCTCAGAGGATGACAGATAAAAGTTCAACAAAATTAACTTCACTGTCTGGCTACCGCAGCAGCTAAGTAAAATCTTCTATTGTAGTAACATTCCACAAGATGGACCAAGTACTCCTTATGATTCCAGATTTCTGTTGCAATATGCTTCTGAATGCCAGAAAAAGGCCTAAACAAGCAGCACAATGTTGGAGTATGTATTCATTTTAGCTGCTTTTCTTGCATACTGCTTTTACCTCAACCATCCTGTAAGAAGTGCTTATACATAAAAGAAAGCAGAATTATTTTAGGGCTTTTAAACCTGCTTCATTTACTGTCAGAGCTGTCAATCAGTGACACCTGCTTGATTTCTGAAAGTTACCAAAGCTGACAAAACCTAAATCCATTTTGTCATTTCCCTGATACTCCCTCCAAAAAAAATAAATTATCTTGGCTCGCAGTGTCAAGTGAGTCAAAATGAGGGATGCTGGCCATCTGTTTATACAGGCCTACATGGATGGTGGGAATGCCTAGCAGTACTTCAAGTGTCGGGCCCCCTGAGGCGCCGGGCGAGGCGGGTGCCAAGGGGGCTGGCGGTTGGTTGGCGGTTGGTTGGCGGTTGGGAATTGTCTTCCTTGCTGTCCCGGAGCCCCCAGCTCGGGCAGCACGAAGCAGCGCCTTGAGGGTCCCACAGCCTGTGGCACAGCAGAGGAAGGAAGATGGAAAAAGTAACGTTGATACTTTCCCTTTGGGTTTTGGTCTGTTTTCTGAAGGAGAGTGGCAGTGTCATGTAAACCTCGTGGTGTGTGGAAGTAACATTTCTAGCTGTTGGCCGGTGCCGAGGAATATGAACGTACATCGATGGGATGGAGACAGGCTGCTGCTTGGGCATCTTGTCTGATACTGGCCAGTCCTGTAAGAAACTAAATGCAGAACCCCAAAATGCTCTGCAGAAAGCGATTATATGCAAAACCGACAGAACCTTTGAATGCAGTTCAGTTAAAAGGGCAGTAGGCCATGAAACTTCAGGCTGGCAAATGGGACTGCTCTACTGCCAGTGATAAAGGGAGCAGAAGGCCCTATATGCAGGCCCAGCCCACTTCTTAGAGAAGTCAGCTGCCTCCCTGAGGCCAGGTTTAAGGATGTATGGAGAAAATTCCCTACCCTAGTTTAAGCTCTCTGATTACTACCCATTAATGATATTTCAGGTAGGCAGTGATGAGGTAGCTACCAGAAGTCCAAGGGCAATGATGAGAGACTTCAGGGCCCTGGGCCATTGGGTTAAAGGATCAGGAACACAAGTGGTGTTCTCTATCCCACCAGTTGCAGGGATTGATGAGGGGATAAACAGGAAGAGCCAGCAGGGATGAAGGCCAGAGGGCACAAGCTGGAACATGGGAAGTCCCATTTAAATATGTGGAAAACCTTTTTTATGGTGAGGGTCACAGAGCACTGGAACAGGCTGCCCAGGGAGATTGTAGAGTCTCCCTTCTCTGGAGATACTCAAGAGCTGCCTGGATGCAGCCCTGAGTAATGTGTTCCAGGGGATTCTGCTTTAGCAGGGGAGTTGGGACTAGATGATCTCTAGAGGTCCCTTCTAACTATGGCAATTCCATGATTCTTTGATCCATGATTTATATAAATGTTGAAAAGCAAGCAGTAAATGATAAGCAGTCTATAATTGCTGGAGATTAAAGGTGGTTTGCTGTAGGAAATACATTATGTACCAGTCACAGATAAAGAAAACACTTAATTCTCCCAAGATTAGCTGCCAGTTCAAGGTCAGATGGCATGCCTTTAAAAATAAAAATAGGGGGTTCTAGTTTATAGCTAAAATGAAATGTATGTTGTCAATATAACATTAATAAGGTCTGTACGTTTTTTTGACCTCTGAGGTAATAATTTTGTTAAAATATTAGAGAGTTAGTATATTCAGCTTTAAATCCCTGTTTCTGATGCATGTATGAAAAATTCTGCATTTAAAATGAGCACAATGACCAAAGCACATTGAGCCCACAGAACAAGGAAATGATGGGGTGGAAGACAGTGGATAGAAATTACACTAAGATGTGTGATGTGGTGAGAGGAAGAATACAGGTAGGGCTTCAAAAGGGAATGGCCAAGGCAGAAGTCTAGAGCAGATTTGTAGACTAGGGAGACAGTAAGGCAGGGCTTAATATGGGCTTCTTGGGGTTCTGGTTCAAGGCTGCTTTGGCTCAGAGGATGACAGATAAAAGTTCAACAAAATTAACTTCACTGTCTGGCTACCGCAGCAGCTAAGTAAAATCTTCTATTGTAGTAACATTCCACAAGATGGACCAAGTACTCCTTATGATTCCAGATTTCTGTTGCAATATGCTTCTGAATGCCAGAAAAAGGCCTAAACAAGCAGCACAATGTTGGAGTATGTATTCATTTTAGCTGCTTTTCTTGCATACTGCTTTTACCTCAACCATCCTGTAAGAAGTGCTTATACATAAAAGAAAGCAGAATTATTTTAGGGCTTTTAAACCTGCTTCATTTACTGTCAGAGCTGTCAATCAGTGACACCTGCTTGATTTCTGAAAGTTACCAAAGCTGACAAAACCTAAATCCATTTTGTCATTTCCCTGATACTCCCTCCAAAAAAAATAAATTATCTTGGCTCGCAGTGTCAAGTGAGTCAAAATGAGGGATGCTGGCCATCTGTTTATACAGGCCTACATGGATGGTGGGAATGCCTAGCAGTACTTCAAGTGTCGGGCCCCCTGAGGCGCCGGGCGAGGCGGGTGCCAAGGGGGCTGGCGGTTGGTTGGCGGTTGGTTGGCGGTTGGGAATTGTCTTCCTTGCTGTCCCGGAGCCCCCAGCTCGGGCAGCACGAAGCAGCGCCTTGAGGGTCCCACAGCCTGTGGCACAGCAGAGGAAGGAAGATGGAAAAAGTAACGTTGATACTTTCCCTTTGGGTTTTGGTCTGTTTTCTGAAGGAGAGTGGCAGTGTCATGTAAACCTCGTGGTGTGTGGAAGTAACATTTCTAGCTGTTGGCCGGTGCCGAGGAATATGAACGTACATCGATGGGATGGAGACAGGCTGCTGCTTGGGCATCTTGTCTGATACTGGCCAGTCCTGTAAGAAACTAAATGCAGAACCCCAAAATGCTCTGCAGAAAGCGATTATATGCAAAACCGACAGAACCTTTGAATGCAGTTCAGTTAAAAGGGCAGTAGGCCATGAAACTTCAGGCTGGCAAATGGGACTGCTCTACTGCCAGTGAGCAGAAGCTGTTTGTTGTAGCGTAGTTTGTTTTTCCCATGGAGGTAGTGTAAAACTCAGAAGGATATTTGAGGGACAATGCTGTTTGGAGCTGATTTCTCCTGAAATGTACAGGATTGTTTCCACTTCTGTTGATAGCTTCTCTTACAAAAAGGGATATAATAGCAAAATGCTGCGAGGTTGCTTTTAAAATAATGTTTAGCTGCATTCCCAGCTTTTTTTTTTTTTTTTTTTTTTTTTTTTTTCCAGATGATTATCATCCTTCCATTTTTAGCAGTGTAATTTGTTTCTATAGCAACAGGGACAGAGGCAACAGCCAAAACAAGAGAGTAATGCTTGCAGATTTGTGTGGTTAAATCTGTGGGCTCCACATGATGTTTTCCAACAGTCCCAACTGACTTGCAGTGCCAAAAAAACCTCACCTAAAACTCATCCTGATTCATTTTGTGTAGATGATACAGCCTGAAGTCTACAGGGGAATAAACTTTTTTTAAAGCATCAATTAATTACTTGATTTAACAGGCAGAGTGACGTGATGGTACCCTTCAGCAAAGGCAATTAAAACTGAGGCTGCACAGCTGCTTTTGGTGCTGAAGGGTGTGAGATTCAACAGTGCACACAGTGGTTTATTCAACTACTTGCACACATTCATCAGGACCTGCTTTTCCAATGCCATTTTCTTGCTAACTATGCAGGATGTGTGGTCTGAGATACAAAATGCAGAGGAATTTTTTGCGGGTTATGTTTCAGAAGAGCTGTAGCCTGGAGGCCTTGTCCTTAAGTGCACTTGGGCTGGGCCACACAGAATAGATCAGAATTGTTGCATGTGTTTATAACCAATACAAGTGTCAGTTATTCACAGGCAGAAGAGTTTTGCTGACACTAATGAGGTGAGCAAAATGTGACACGAAGCTCAATAACTAATTAATAGGATTGGAGAGTTGTGGCTGGTGGGATGTGAGTGTGTAGGTGGTTAGGCTGGGAAGATGGGATTTCTTGGCTGCAGTTTGAAACCTGTGAATTGCTGAGGTCTTGTAGGGGATGAAAGGTCTATAAAAAAACCCCAACAAAACACCTCTTGGGCCATCCAAGACTATTAGGCTACTTCTGAATGTATGTTTTCCGAAGAGTCTTTATAGTTGCATGAACAGTTCCTGCGGATTTCTGGCATCCGTGCAGAGGCACCCCCAGCAATGCGTAGGTGCATAGGGATGCAATGTGTTTATTTGTCTCCTACGGGAGGGTGGCAAAAAAAAGGCCGCCCCGAGCCCCGCTCGCCGGCCCGAGCCCCGCAGCGCCCCCGGGGAGCCAGCTGTGCGCCCGGCCGCTCCTCGCCGTGTACGTGCCAGGGCTGCGGGAACAGCTGGCGGTGCACAGGGACAGCTTCGTGCGCCCACCGCCCCGCAACCGTGAGAGCCCGGAGCGCTCAGCCAAAGGAAGGCGATGTTGAAGCTGGATTGCAATTCAGAGGTGAGGTGTGGGGAAGGTCTTTGTCCCAAATTCTGCTGTTTGTCTTACCGAACCGTGAACTGCAGCTTGCCCAGGGCTGCTGCTGCAGACGTTGGGGCACTGCCGATGTCGATCAGTATTGCTTTTCTCTCTGGAAAGGGGCATTCTCAAGCAACATAAAGGCCCGATGTTCTTAAGGCTTGCCATGAGTTAGACTGGCAATAACTGTGCTTTTTTTCCTCCCCCCCTATCTTGTTTATTTTAGTCTGGTGGTTTCAGCAATCTGTTTGAGGCAGGAACCAGCGTGAACGCACCTGCAGATGCCTTTGGTCAGTCTCCAGCTCACTTGGCTGCTTGTGGTGGTGAAGCTTTTTTCCTACTTTGGCAACTGCAGACAGGAGCAAATTTGAACCAACAGGTAAAAATACATACGTTTTGTTCCTCCCACTTATAATCTGGCATGTCAGTAAATCCAATTTATATGGTTTTAAAAAAATTTATTTGAGAGGTTTTATATACAGAGTTGTATTGCATGAAGTATCTGGGATTGCTTATTTTAGAGTAATTTTATTCTAGCATGAACCAGAAATTGTATCTGTATTGCATTAGCTGTTTCATCTGCTACACAGAATGCAATTTTCACACTTACAGTGCTGCATGCAGTGGGAAAAAAATAACAACAAACAACTTAATTCTGTTACACAAATAAGTATTTCTTTTTCCTCTGAATTTTTGCCAGTGAACATAAGGATTCTTCCTTTAGCTGTAAAGTTTAATTTGCTGATACCTCTGAGCTGGTAGCAGCAAATTGTTGTTCACAGCAACCACTGGTCAGTGCTGAAAGATGCTGTTAATCACAGTGTACAGAGTGTATTCTATATAAATAATATTTTAGAAGGTAAAGGTTAAACAGAGTATTGCATGGGACAGTATTTCTACTTTGCTGTGCTAAATACACTAAACATTTAATGGCAGTTACTGAGTATAGTTTACTATGGTATTTCTTTAATCTCTCTCTCAGCTTGCAACAAATTAGTAGACAGAGTAACACTCTGTAAACAGTCATGTTGGAGAACAAGATAGCTTCATCCTACTCCCCTTCCATCAAATAACTTACTTTATAAATTGTGTTTTTAGGATTGCCTTGGAGAAGCCCCAATTCATAAAGCAGCCAAAGTTGGGAGTTTGGAATGTCTTGCTCTCCTTGTTGCTGGTGATGCCAAAATTGAGTAAGTTGAGCTACATTTGTAGTCATTTCAGTAGCAGGGTCAAAGGATACATGTATTTTACACAGTACTTGTTCAGCGTGCATACTAAGACTGTACATCTAGTCTGACTATAATCATAAGAGCAGTATTAAAAAGCATATGCTGCTGTTTAGTTCCACGATAAAGACCACCATAGTAACCACTAGGATAATATTCCTGATAATAAGTTCTCTTCTTGTTAGATATTCCATTCTGACTAAGGCTGCACTTACCTTCCTCTTGCCTTTGTGATACACTAAGCCAGTCATAGTCTGGTGAAAAATTTATTTCAAAATAATTAGTCCTTGTTGCATTTAATACCAGCCTTCTGTGCAAGCAGATCCCCATGCTACCCTCTGCTTCTGTGCAAGCAGATCCCCATGCTACCCTCGGCAAGTCTGCTTGGTATTGATTCTTTATACTTCTGTCTATAGTTACCACTTCATTAATCTTGACCAGTTCTCGCTCATAATAGATACTCTAATTTAACTGAATGGTTAATGTTAATTCCTTTTTTCAGCTTGTGCAACAACAGGGGACAAACAGCGGCAGATCTCGCACTGGCTTATGGCTTTCTGGAATGTGCCAAGTTCCTCACCACAGTTCAGCATACTCAGACAATGAAAGTGAGAGGACAGTCTGCCCACTCACTAAGTGACAAATGTGGCCTGCTGAGAGAGGATCCACCTGCACATAAACAAGAAAGTGAAACTAGCAGAGCCATAAACAGGAAGAGGAGGAGATCAGATGGTGTGTAATATCACTGGTTTACTACAATCCAGAATATTTTTCTTTTTTTAAAAAATACTTCTGGCTTTTAAATAAATACATTTGGCATTGGATACGTAGCAGTTGGATTTAGAAGCCTTTTACTAAGGATCAACTTGCACAGGTATTTAAGTTTATGGTCTTGTAAGAAATTGGCAGTGTATGGGGAATGCCAGTGAACAGGCTACTTTAACATATGGGAAATAAAAGAAGACATGGAAGGTACTTTTACTGATGGAGTTGCTCACAAAGACAGCCTTTACTAACAGCACGTTTTGATGGCATTAGATACAGACTTATTCTTGTTTTTTCATATGACAGATCTTCACTCTTTGCTGACAAAAGAAGGAATTTGAAATGCCAAAATGAAATCAAGGGGAGTCCAAATTCTGGAGAAACGTGACTGGACTGTGCACTAAGCAGCTGGATGTATGCTGGTACATGGTCTCCTTCTGAGAAGGAGGAAAGCTAATTTTTACTTCTTACAGAAGACTTTTTTTCCTAGACTAGTGGTATTCATAAAATTATAAATAAATGAGCATAGAAAAATCAATTCTCTCATGTTTTTCTCTGTGTAAATATGAGAACAAGGTTCAAGAAAGTCAGTACATATGACCATTTTTCTCCCACTCCTCTTCTAAAATGCTGTTACCAACAGTTCCAGCAGCAACGGATGCCTTTCAAGAGATTCACAGTGCACAACACACCTGGCTATATGAAACCTGAAAGGTAGAGGGCAGTTCATCTTTTTGGCAAGAAAGAATTCCATAAAATAAAAGGATTGGGCATTTAATCTGTAAAAATTTTAGCATTAAAAAAAAGCTATATACTTATTCTAGCCAAAATAAAGAGTATTTGTTAATAAATATAACAAATACAATTCACAGCATACAACTCTTAGAGGCTTCCTTTAAAAAAAATATTCTTCATTTAAATTACTCAAGCAGCGTTTCTATTTCAACTGGGTTTTGATTGACTTAAAGCATTATTCTGATAAATAACAAGAGACAGTTGTATCTAAGCTAGTATTCTGGCTTAGCATCTTCCAGCATAAGAGTGGAATTTAAATAGTTTTTGGTCGTTGAGGTAGGCAGAGATTATAGTAGGCATCCTTGTTCCAAAACTCCGGGCCCTTCCAACCACACCAGCCCTGTCCAAGAAAAAGCAAAACAGCATTTAAATCTGCTACAAATCCTGTTTTTCCTATATACTGCTACTGGATTTATTTTATTTTAGTATTTCTAATCTAAGATGTATGATTTAAATATCTATAGAATGCAATGATACACAATTTCCAGAAAGTTCTCTATGTGCCTGGAAAGGCATAAGGGAAGACACTTTATAGCAGAGTCTCTCTCCCCCTTCCTCCCTCCCCACCTCAGCTCAGTTCCTAAAAAGCAGCATCTTTTTTTCCCCCACTACCTTCTGCTGCTACAGAGAGCCTAACTTGACTCTGAAATTCTTATCATTCTCACAGTTTCCATTAATCTTGAAGGATCCTTGCCTTCTTTACTAGTAGCTGATACTGCAAAGCCAAATGGAGCTCCAGATATGGGAAGCTGTGCTGTTGGTCATGATTTAGCAGAAAAACAACCAAACCAAAACAAAGTTTGCAGAGTACCACATAATTATATGAGCTGTTTTTGAAGAAGAGCTACAAACTTACAGTCTACCTCAGTTCTTCCCCTCCCCTGCCACTTTTGATGAGGAAAGAAGTTCAGCATGTATTTTATCCTCCTGGACCATTCCTGTGCACCTTGTATCTGTAACTGCCTTTGGTTCTACATGTTCTTTGGAAATTTTGTCTTTCTGTATTCATTTCAAGCTCTATCATTACAGGGTTAGTAAAATGTTTCTTCAACAGCTTTTATAGTTAGGCCCAAGAGTATCCAATAATTACATGAAGTCATTGCTATTTGCAATTTAAGATGAAGTAGAGAATAAACTGATTACAAAACAGTAAATGTAGGGCAGAAACCTAAACTGTGAAAGTGGCTAAATAATCCTCTAAGTAATGTGCTGTGTCATCCCTCTTAGTAGCTTCAAATACAGAAATTAACACCACATACCCTTTATTTCTTTTAGGGTTTTCCCAGATTTTTCAAAACAGCTCAGTACCTGCCCTTTAAACTTAGTTCAACGCTTGATTTGAGAATGCCTAGTGCTGGACTTTCTACACAAATTTTAAACAAGTAGTTTCATTCTCTGCTTCAGAAACACCATTTTACAGGTTCAACACATTTTTCTGTTCCATTCAAAATACCAAACACATTTATTGTCTATACTACTGGGTAAGTGGGGAGATGGTTTAATTTAAAGAAAGAAAGAACAGTTATTTGTACTTAAACTTTATGTAGTTGCTGCCCCAATGTATGACCTAAGACACTAAGTTTCAGAAACTTAACAAGTAGCATATATACAGGTTAACTGGGATCAGAACTTCCTCCATAAGGAATGGAGAAGCCACAGAATGGACAATTTGTATTTGGCTGCACATTATTTGTTTAATGCCAAAATATATGTATACACATACATCTGTGTATCTGATGCACATATGTAATGCGCATCAAGCCTTACCTTTTCCAAAATAACGTGCAAATCTTCTCCTCCAGTGTAATGTGGGTCTAGAATCAAATATTTTATGTGCCCTGTCATCTCATTCCAAGCCACTCCTAGTATTGTGTGAGCCAAAACACCTCCACCTGAAAGAGAAGGAACACAAATTGCTAAAAATTTTCCACTGAGATCAGCTAAATGTACAAGCCTAAAAGTACATCTACACTTTCTACTAACAGATCTGTTTATCAAAATGATTCTGAAACTGACCTACATAAGATTTTTAACACTATAAAACAACACATCTCTGCTACAAGTAGGGAAGATTACTTATTTTACTTTACTTACTACAACTACAGAATTTACTTCCCAAATTCCTTCCATTGTCACAAGGCAGGTTAAATCCTCAGCACTTCCACCAGATGAAGTAAAGAGTATTTCCAACATCAGTTGTGCTCACTTTTTCTTTGGAGAAACTTAACTGTAGAAAAGGGACCTGGAAAACTTCCAGGTTGTAAAAGGACTGAAATTAGAACAGAAATAACAGAAATTTCTGGATAGGGGTCATCTGCTGTTTTCTAGTAAGTTCCATCAGTGGTTATCAGAAGCAGAGTTGTAACTTCTGACTCCTCTTTCTCTAGCCTGCAAACAGGGAAAGGGGATATTTTGATGAGCTGGCCACAGGTTCACTCTAGCATGTTTCTTTCAGATAAAAAGGAGAAAAACTGAGGAGTTCACATCCTTGAGATAATGTAGTAATGGCTCCACACAAGACAGGGATTGCAAAAACAGCAAGAGAACACAAGCAAAAAACCACCACCACCCAAACCCACTCCAAAAAGCTAACCTTGGCCCTCCCAACAACAACTGAACTGATCCAGAGGAGAGCATTACAGTGAAAGATAAGTTACAGATGGAAAGATTTTTCAATATAGGATTCTAAATTCTTGAAATTCAGACAAAAAGGCTGCTTCTGAAAGGTAAATAATGCTTCCTATGAAAATCTGGACTTCTGGTACCTCTAACTTTTGAGAGTAACACTATCTTTATGGAGTGCCAAATACAGACCACGAAAATTGCTACAGTTTTATTACATCTGAAATGGATATTTGCAATATTCTTAATTTTCTAAACCACAGCTGTCTTGGAAATAGTTCAACTGAAGTTACAGCTTTCTCATGCATGGCGTTTCTTGTGTTATCAACATTTCAGATTATTAAAACTGGTCTTCAAAGAATTTGGATAATATCCTTCTCTTCAACACCAGATAAACACCACTCTTCCATAATAATAATAAAGTTTTGGGGAGCTATACAAAATTCTGCTCCTCTGGAGAGCAGGAGTCAGCTCTCGAGTTCTGACCTTAACAGCACTTTTAAAGAACACCATTTTGATTAGCTTTTGTTACCATATTTAATACTGAGCTGGGAGAATACTGTGAGAAATTCTGAGTGAAAAGATAACAGCTAGACTAAATTGTATTGGTTTTGAGACTCCCTTGGGAAAAGCAAAATTTTACATTCATCTACATCTTTGAGTAACTCCTGTACAGTAAACTGAGTTCTAATTGAAATTCAGCATATGGAGGCCGCAGTTTCACTGGCATTCTTCGATACTCAAGCACTTACCAATCATAACTGGAGTTCCTTCGGTCTTGAAATGATTAGCAAGCTCTCTTCCCTGCAACGCTAGTTCAGAACCCTGGCTAGGTAAGAAAAACAATAGATTTGTTATCCTCACTAGGCTTAATTCTCTAATTATCTATTATACTCATTAACTGCATAGTAACTGATCAAAAAGTGACTTAAGGGTTTTTTCTGTGTAAAAATCCTGGGACAATCTGAAAATAAGTTTTTTTAGTTTAACAGATTCTGGTTGGGGCAATGAATCTGCTATAAGCCTTGTTGCCACTGAAGCACCTGGAGGCACTTAGCTTCTGTGATTTGTCCCCTGCTTGTCTCCCAGAGCAGGGACAGCTGGTAAGCCCCAACAGCTCCCACCAAGTGGCAGAAAAACAAACTGGCTACATCTGTGAGGAAAGGGGAGTCTGAAGCAAGCAACAGAACTTCATCAAGATAACAAAAATAAAGTATTGATAAAGGTGTTTACAGTGACAGCTCTCAAGATAGCTTTCCACAAGCAAGTACTCTACTCAGACCCAAGCTGGCTTTTAAAAATCAAATCTCAAATAACATCAGGAATCTGTTCACAGCAATACTGAGCTGAGCTTTGTTATAATCTCCCTGCTTTCCTTTCCAACTATGGGAACAGCCACAGACAAAACAGCCTACACAGAAAAGAGGCGCACACTCAACAGATGCACGTACTCTAGGATTCAAAGCTGAAGACATGTCTGATGGAGACTCACATTCCCCTTATTAGACTGACAGTACCACCAAAAGTGGTGACAGAAGCTAGGCAAGGAAATGAATAC